AAGATTATTATTTTTAAGAATGTTAAATGTTAGTTTTAACCAGTTTCTGTGAGTTTTTTGATTGGATTATATTTACTTCTAAGTTATTTATATATTTTTARGTATATTATTTTAAATTAATTTTATTTCACCTTAAGGATTACTGTTTTTGACAACTTAATATATTCATATTTCTAACCAGTATTATATTTCATTTTGCACGTTAGTATATTATAATATTGTGTATCAATAATAATTTTTAAACATACTTATACAATTGTCTAAAAAATTATTAACGAACAATATTATACGTTAAATGCCTTTAAAAAACTAATCGTTGAAACAGAATCTTGAACTTCAAAAATGTTTATTATTATACAAAGATAAGACTAATGGACTGTTATTATTAATCATAGAAATTAACAAATATACAAACTGTTCTTTATTTTAATTTTGTTTTATTTGAATTGTATAGGTACAATCATTCTCAAAACTGTACAAATTAAAAAATACAAATCGTTACGTTAATTTTAGTTCTAAGTTAACTAAAATATTGAACATGGTATTTGTAAAAATACAGTTAATAGATACAATTGATACAAGTTCTAACCTAACTCAATACACATAATATATTATAATACATATGGCATAAATATGTTTATATTTACATATAATATTAAAATGTCATTTATCGGATTGTTTGAACGAATTAATAAAGAGCAATTTTTTCTAAAAAGTCATTCAAAATGTAAGTCAATCTACTAAATTATAATTAGTTCCAAACTCATTTATTATAATTTAAATTTATTTAGTTTATGAACTAAAAAAAAATGTAGGTTTCTTATTTTTATTAAAAGATTTTCTTGATTGTTATTTTTATTAATCATATATTATATCATACAATTTAATAATATTATTCGTTTGTCTTGCTTTGCAGGTTAAAAGCTTAATTTTAAATAATTATCCAAATATTCYTTAAAATCCCTCTCTATCTTTAATACAAATACTGAATCTACCATAAAGCTATAATCTCATTTATTTAGGAAACAATAATAGTTATATTATAATATGTACATAATATTTGTTTTAATTCTATTTTGTACATTATAATTGTTGAGTTGTTTCATATAAATTAGCAGCTGCTAGCTAACAAATGCAAATAATAAAAGAATATATACAACATTTGCATGTATAACAATAAACAACTAATTGTAATTTGTCGAAAAAAAAATTTTAATACTACCTATTTATTTTTTTTGTTTTTGTGAAATCGAATAAAACTAGATATTTTTGAAATTAATTAAAAAATGTTTATGTTTTTATAACTACCAATTTTTACAGTATCTAATCTGATAATATTTTTATT